CTTCTCAAGTAAATTTTCTGGATCTATGGAATATTGACAAACCTAGTAATGTAAAAAACAGAAGCCAAATTTCAAAAACCTTGATAAAATGCACTTATCTTGAGTTTGCTCTGGGAACTGAATTTCTTGATTTCCTATATGCATAGGTGGCCTCCTATCTTTCCTTTTCAGCTAAATTGCTCATTTAGTTTTGACAACAAGAGTTTGATTCCAAGAAAACCCCAACAAATGAGGTTTACAAGACATATTCCCACAGCAGCAGTACAAATATGTGATGATGATTTTGAAACTTGATGACAAAACCAGAGACAGAAGAGGACAAAATTACTTAGTCAATAAAAAAAATGTTTTATGTATTGTTATTTATAGCCAGGGTCTATATATAAAAAAGCATTTTATTTTTTGAGGCGAATATGTTGAAATGTTTCTCTGCAGAAGATATTGAAAATAAAGGTTCTCTGTGGGAATTTCGAGGATCTTGAATTTTGAACTTTTGCAAAAAAGTACTTTTTGTTTCACATCAAATTTCCATTTCTACTATGCTAGCAGCATCATGCCTTTCTCTTGAGGTTAAAGTGAAAAGAAGACAAGTGACAGAGAATGTGAGATTCTCTGAGAGACTCTTGGATGTCTGAGGATAAAAACCAGGTGTGATAAAGCATGTCAGTCCCCTAAATACCAGAATCATCAATTGTTTGCAACTCTGTTTCAGATCATGGCTGTACTAGCAAAAGAACAGATCCATTTGCCCTTCTTGCCTTTGAGAGTGGTTTGCAATGCTTTCCCCCACTAAGCAGATGAAAAAAATCATGGGAACAGACCAGGTCATTTTACATCCTGCATTTCCCACAGGTAAATACTATAATCAAAGAAAACTCCCGTTGCATTACCTTTATGCAGTCTTTTACACAGTAATATTACAGATGGTTAATCATCATTTTACTAGATTCATCCTCTGCTTAGAGCACATCAACCTCTGATGTTTGTAACACTGAATGTGAAGGTGGGTACTTTGTCTTTCATGTGAGGGCAGAGTTTCTCTTCTGCAATAAATGCACTGAATAGTGGATTTCCTGCATGAGGAGAATTGATTAGCCATGACCTGAGGTCCCTTTTGAGCAATTCTATACATAAAGTCTTAATCTCAGAAAATTTACCTTGGAGGACTTCAGCTTCTTGGTTTGAAATGCATGAAATGCATGAAGTTTCTCATGTTCATCTTGCTTTGCAGTTCTTATCCCTGCTAGGGTGTTTTACACTCTTCTGTCCTAGGTCATATCAGAAATCTTAGTGGAAGTTTTGTCTTTGGAGAACACAAAGACTGGAAATGAAAATATGTCTTCAATACACTAAATTGTGGTGCCAACATGTGAATGGTTTCAGGATGCTGCTCTTTCATTATTTATCATTTATGGCTAGAGATTTCAAACATAAATACCTGAAGGTTTGAATAAATTCCCACTGAATAAATTGTCTATTCTGCAGCTCCACTGCAAGTTCTTCTAGGGCAAGCATAAGCTATTGCTGCATGTCTTGTATATTTGCAGATTTTAACTCACACAACAGTGATGGTTTCTTTTTCCATCCTTCCTTTAAACTAGTTTAGTGCTTTAAAAACTCACCACTGCCTAATAGGGCTAGGTGGCTTAAGAGTATGAGAAAAAAATATTTGCTGAAAAATATGCCTTTAATTCTTTACAAAGCAGACATGATCCTATGACCCTTACTACAAAATCATTCTCAGGATTCAGGAAATTAAATTGAATTTCATCTCTTGAGAGTCAATGTCTGCATTCACTTCAACCTCCAGAGGCAGACATAACTGGCAAGCTGTGGAATTCCAGATGCAACATCTCCCAAATCTTTCCTGCCAGTAGTCCTACTTTTTCTACACAATTATTATATGATCTCATAGCAATCATTTCTATACTTAGGATGGTTTTAGCTATTATGCTTTTTTGCACTGAGTGGAAGAACATCAGGGCTGAATGTCTTCACACAAAAAGGCAGCTGAATCAAAATTTCCAATATGCTTGGTAAATTTCCTAACTCTGGATGATGAACTACAAAAATAAGGGAATTTCTGACAAGATCAATGCCCTTTGGTTTTCTGAGTACTTTAATCTTTGGATGGATTAATCTCTTAAGTATAAAACCAAATTTTTAAAACTCAGTTGAACTGAATAACTTCTTGGTTAGTTGCAACAATAAAAAAGTGCAAATGTTTGCATGGCCTTTTTGGTGATCTTTTGTGACATCCTTATAGCCTGGCAGGGGTGAAAAGGTAGCAGTGATGTACATCCTTTACAAGTCTTGCACATGACAATCTTCAAAGCAAGACTAGTTTACTTAGGTATTTCAAATTGCCTGGAAACTACAGAGAGAGTAAAGTATCAATGGCATTCTCTTAAATGTAGGAACACACATTTCACAGAGTTCTGTGAGGAACTAAAGTTTTTGCTAACAGTCTGGATTGCAGAATTGAACAAATTTATTACATTTGTATATGATAGTGAAAGATAGGCTTAAATTCAAAGTGGTTTTGACAAACTGGATAAATATTTTGGAAAAAAGTTATATTCAATAGAGACAGGAGAAAATGGAGAAATATTCAACCACAGAAATGTGAACAATGGATTAGGTGATCTTGAGGGAAACAAAATTGACCAGAGCTTAAATTTTTTCACTAAGTGATACTGCTGTTACAACCAAAGCTTGCATTCCATATGGAAGCATGGAAAAAGAGTACACACTGTGACACCTGCATGATTATCTATCTTTTCTTATAAACAATTACAAGATCCCAAGTAACTTATTAGCTCCAACTTTGGACTTCAAATAAGATACAAATCAGCTGAAGATAGTCCTGATGAAAGCAGGAGCTTTCAGCTCTTGAGATGTCCTGGAGTGCCTAAAGAACAGTTTCTGGAAGTGGGCTTTACCTGTGTAAAGACTGAGGGGAATACTCTGCTTGCTCTCCCTTTGGTGCCCATGTAATACTCTGAAATCACTGCAAGGGAGGTTCAGGTTGTGCATTAAGGAATAGTTTGCAATGGCAAGCCAAAACAGGTTGCCTGAGGAGGCTGGAGTGATGCTATCGCTGGAGGACTTCAGAATGGGTTAGACAAACACTTGTCAAGAATGACACATGCATGTAGTTGATTGTGCCTTGGGGCAGAGCCACAGAGGAGCTGACCTTGCAAGGTTCCTTCCAATCCTGCTTTTTCTTACGTAAAGAGCATTATGCTGTTTCCTCCCATTCCACCTTCATCATTCAGAGTTCTCCTGTTCTGCCTTCAAGCTTTCCCTTATCTCCAGCTACTCTCCTAAAAATAACCTTTCTACTGCCTCTTTCACTATTTTATGCATATGTAGGAAATGCTTCCCAAACAAGATGGTTCTGTGGATGGACACGACTGATCCCATCCATGGAAAAGGACAGGACTACTTCTCACCATTTGCAGCTATGTACTGTGGCTACAGAAAGGAAAATCTTACTGCAGGATTAAGACCTAGACATAGAAATATTTTAGCCCCCAATAGGAACCGGGACTGTAGCTGACAGCTTTCTATATGCAGGGCAAAAAGAAAGGAAGTTAGATGTAGCTTTATTTTTCAATATTGGTTCTGAACATGTTCGCATTATGAGTCTGATACAAATTTTCCCACTGTTTGATGTGACAAAGCTGAAAGGGCAGTAAGTCCTAGTAAGCTTAACCCGAGCGTTCTCCTGTTTTGCTGAGAGGAGTTAGTTTGGGAAGACAAGGTAATTACACTACGTAGAGAAAAGCTGAGCTCAGACCAGAAGCCCAAACGGGTCCGACTGCAACACGCTGGGTACAAATCGACATCGCTTTGAACATCTCCTTCCCTCGGTGCTGCTACCCAAGTGGGGGATGACCTCAGCCCCCCGCGGTTCGGGGAAGGCTGGAGCCCCTCAGGTTGCGGCCGGGCGGGCTCCGGAAAGGCGGCGCTGCGGGGGGAGTCCGGGGAGACCCGGGCAGGTGAGCGCCCCAGCACCCCGGCAGGGAGCCGCCCGCGGGCTCTCCGCGCGGTTCCCCCCGCAATTCACGTAGCGCCGAGGAGGACGGACCGGAACGGGAATTGCCAGCCCCGTCCCCGATGCGCGGCGGCGGCAGCAGAACGAGCAGCAGCAGCAGCATCGCCCGGCTCCGGCCCGCGGGCCCCGCACCGGGCTGTCGCTCCCCGCGTCGCCCGCCGGGAGAAGGGCGCGGAGCCGGCGGAAGGCGCACCCGGGCCGGCCGGCATGAGGGGGCGCGGTGGGGCGGACCCGGCACCGCCCGTGCCCGGCCCGGCCCGCGCACGTGGTGGGGGGGGCGCGGGCCGCCCCTCCCTGCCCGCCCCCCGGCGCGGAGGGGCGCGCTGTGCCGGCACCAGCCCTCTTCTCCTGTTTTTTGGGTTGTGGCTTTTTTTGTTTTTGTTTTTTTTTTTGAAGTCTTGCTTAACAAATTGCGCGTGATGAGCTCATGATGCCGCGCCCCCCCCGCCCAGGCTGGGGCAGGCAGGGGGACGTGAGGCGGGCGGGCGCGGCCAGCGGCGGGGGCTCTGCGCGGCCGGGAGGAGGGGGAGCTCTCGGTCCCACGCTGTTTACTGGACTCGGGTTGTGAGGCTTTTGCGTCCCTTCTTTTTCTTTTTTTTTTAATATATATATGTATATTTATTTATTTATTGCCCCTGTCCCGCTGCGTGGCGGGTTGTTTGCCGCTCTGTTCGCAGGTGGATCCATGCGCTCCCCCGAGAGCGGCTCCGCCGCCGCGCAGCGCCGCGCCGGGGCGGGGGGAGCGGCCGCCAGGTTCGGCCCCGCCGCCGCCGCTGCGGGGGGCGGCCCCGCCCGGGCTCCGGGTGGGCAGGCGTGAGGCGGGCGAAGTTTCTGCGCGGCGCCGGGCCCCTCCGAGGGACTGCGGGCAGGGAAGAACCTGGCCCCGCGGTGCTGGGGGAGCTGACACCGCCGCCGCCAGCAGAGTAGCCCGGCTTTGGCCATGAAGAGGAAACAGAAGAGGTTTCTGCAAATGACGCTGCTCTTCACCGCGGCTCTGATTTTCCTGCCTGACATCGGCCTCTGGTCTCTGTACAAGGAGAAGCACCTGGTGAAGCCGCCCGAAGCCGGCGAGCCGCAGGTAGGTGCGGCGCCGCCCGGGAGCGCAGCCCCGCGGCGGGGCAGGGTAGGGCAGGGCGGCAGCCGCCCCTCGGGGCACGGCCCCAGTCTCGCCCCTGCGGGGCTGCGGGGCCCGGCCGGGGGCGCGGAGCGGCAGCAGCAGCAGCACGTGTGCCTGTCCGACCGCCGCGCCGGAGAGAAAGTTGTGAGAGCAGCTGAGTGTGCCGGCTGGGCTTCCCCGGCGAGGGCGAGGGGTGAGCCGGCACGGAGGCTGCCTCTGAAATTAGGAGGACGTGGGATTTTGTGCGTTGGTGAGCTGAGTGTGATGCTGGGCTCTAATTTTCATTACAAGAAGTGGAGGTTTTAGTGCAACTTTTTGTTTGCCTGCCTCTCTGCAATACTTCTCGAACTGGTGTGTGGCTATAGGTCCACTGAAATTGATGAGATCCATGTAGATGTCTTAGCACCGAGATTTTTTGTTTCCTCTTCTGTTGTAAATTCGACAGAAGTGACTGGTGGATTTTTTTTTCTCTTCTGAATATTACTATTGTGGCCTGATGCTGCAACGCTGTGTTTAACTGCTTGTCAGACTGATGTCACAAAGAACTTCCAAATATTTTCAGTTTACAGTTTTCTCGATCACTGTTATTAATAAGAGCAGTTGACATAAGCTGTTTTTTGCTCGAGTTATTCTTCAGCTTGATGGGTTTATGTATGGCTCATAAATCCCAGTATGACCTGCATTAAGTGAAGTTTAGTTTTAAGGAGTTGTTGTAATGCACTTCTTTATAACCCTGCCTTTACCAAAGCTTGTGTTTGTTCTGTTCAACAGTACAATGCTCCTACACTGTAATTGTCAGTGTAATTTAAATATAACATGAATGTTTCATAGATCATTGGTAAGAAATTATGGGATTGTATAATGTTTTAGCTTGTTTACCACTTACATAGCCTTCACATTAGAGTGTATTAGATGGCATCATATATCATTTTAGTGTATTAGTAGCCTTCATTTCAAGGGTCATCACCCATGTACGGTCAGTGGCTTCAACTGAACAATAACATATTTGATTCTTTGTTAATAAGGGTATCCATTACAGAAGTTAGTCCTCCAAAGTGTCGTAACTTTGGTTAATGAAATATGCTGAATATTACTAGAGGAGGAAGTTAAGGATAGATTCTTAATTCAGAGCTTGCTTCATGTTTCCATGGGTTTTAAAATGCAATAGGTGTCAGGTGCTAAAATTTAGTTGGAAGTAATTTCTGCTGAAAGAAAATTATGCATGATCATAAGTGTCTGTCATTAGTTTACAAGGTGCACACTGCAGTCTTTGCAGCTTCTAATTTACTTTGTGACTTAGGAAAGCTGAGGTCTTCAATGCAAGTAATGATTTCCATGTGTGCTACATGGCTCTTTAGGACGCACATGCCTTGAAGAAATTTCTAATGTTCAAGAGTGCTCTCCAAGTAGAACATGATTTGATAACAGTGAAAGGGACGATTTATTAAAAAAAAGGCACTGGATAAAGTGGTGTAAGACATGGATGCTAAGCATATGTAAAGGACTAGTGAGGCTTTCTAATGAGACCCCCAAAAATTTTTTCATTCTAAGTTTTCTGCAAAGGTCTTTTTGCTACCTTCCTTTTTTCTCCCCCCCCTTTCTTCTCCCCTTCCCTTTTCTCCCAGTCTGAATACTAATTGAACAGTAATGGGACTGTTTAATGGAAAAACAATAAAAATGAGCAGTGAAACTTTGAACCTTACAGCTGACTCTAATGTAATTCTGTTATTATGCTAAGTATTGAAATCATGTTGGCAATGTCATTACCCAGTGAGGATGGAAGGTTGAAGTACAGACAAGTAATGCAATTAGGTTACTTATGTCTTTTGATGTGTACATTATAACCCAAAATACTTACAAGGAACAGGTATTGAAATACAAGTTTAAGTTCAACTCCCTGAAATATAAAGAAAATTTTAAGACATCTTTGCAACTACCCCTAAAAATGAGGGTAGTTTCTTTCATACTAGGAAAGACTGCATTAGAAATAGTATCCTAGTAGAAATGTAACTTCTTTTTCCCTATTAGGTTAGTAGCAGGTACAAGAATTTAAACACTCAGCACAGTTATTCTTTGCCCTTGAGGTATTCAATTTCTTGAGACTTTGTGTGACTTAACACAAGTTTAGAGGTCAGTCCTACTGAAACTGCAGCAGACTTTTCTTATATATTCTAAGATCGTGTTAGGTTACAAAGGTACATGTGTAGAGTCAGCACATCATGCTAGTGATGTGCAGTTGGACTGCTGTGGTGTGTCCTGACCATGGGAGAGATGCAGAGCTGTCTGTAACTTCAATAATTTAGTTACAGGCTGAACTGGTTTTGCCTTCGTGAGTAAATTGAGTGTCTAGTTGGTATTCTGACCTTGACAGTAGTGTTTATAAATGTGCTATCTTATTTTAAGAACAATTCATGTTAGAGATCATCAGGTGGTTTTGAGGAGACGGCATGGTGAAATGATGTTTTGACTACTTATAAATTAAGGTTTCCCATTCATTGCTGAAACAAACATCCCCAGCCTTCCCTGTGAATGAGGGCTTTGTCAGCCTCTCCCACCACCTCAGCTGCTTGCCGTAGCACCAGAGTGAAGGAGGGATGGAAGTCTGATGGAGCAGGTATTGATATCCTGACAGCAGTAAGCAGAGAAGCTGTTCAAAAGCAGTCCACAAGGCAAAAATAGTCTGTTTCTATCAATGGTAGAACAGTGTCCCCTGGGGACTGTGTCATTTCCCAAGCCTAGAAGAGGCACTTGCGTTCTTTACAGCTCTCTAGAAATTCTAAACTAAGAATTCCAGCAAACTAATTTGACTTTTTTTTTTGTGAAAATAGTGCTGCAATAAGTTACATAAGATTTTTTTTGTTGTTCTGCAAATTCTGTTTCTGAGTAGAGGAGCTCTTCCTTAGGAAAAATTGAAAAATGAGAAGATGATACAGCTGTGATTTCAGACAACATTCATGATTTTGATCATTACAAAATTGAGCTTTACATTAATTCTATAAACATAATTAATCTCTATAAACCTTTGTTTCTATGAAACTTTTTAAAGCTATCATGTTTTCACTTGAGAACTTGATAGGCTTGATTTTTGTATTTTGGTTATTGTTATTTACTTCTGGTTTATCATATTATTTAAAGTGGAGCTTCAAGGATAAATGTACATTTAAAGGTTCTGAGTTATGTGGTGCAACAAGATTTCCGTAAAATACAGATTGACATAAATGGTAGACTCAAGGGAAAAAAAAATATAGTTTATTTCTAGTTTAATCTTTCTAAGACTGCCTTTCTTGCTATACTGTGGGAATAAGGGAAATAGAATAGGGTATTTCTGTTGCCTTTTTTAAAAATAAGTCTTAGAAATTCCTTAAAACATTATGGTGTCCTTGAGGTTTGATTACAGTTTTTGCAGTTAGTTTAACTTTGGAGGGGGGGAGTTTGTTTGTTTTTGTTTTGTCATTGGGATATTATGTATGTGATGTAAGTATCTTGTCTGATCTTTCTATAAAATTCCAAGATCAGGTGTATGGATACCAAGTTATACTGGTAAAACTTGTAGCTTCAGTTTTGTTTTCTATGGAGGAAAAGCAGCAATTTAAATGCAACCGGTAGGATGTAATCCTGTTATCTCATCCCATCTAAAGCTAGTGATACTTTGTTTGGCTACAGTAAGGTTTTAACCTTGTCTGTTCATACATTGTCAGTATCTGAAGCATAACTTTGTGTAAAAGTACCAAATTTCTTGCAGCAGTTTTCCAGTGTCTGTTATGTAGGTATTGTGACACGTTTCTTTCTGTCCCCTCTGCATGGGAGGCCAGTGTGGGTGATGACTGAAAGGAGGGCACTCTGGTGAAGTAACCCCTAGTATAGTTCAACTTCATTTTCTAATTTTTTTTCATTTGTCACATCCCTGCTTCCTGTGTCAAATCTCCTCGCTTATAATTGAATTGAACAGCAGCATCTCTTAGTCACAGATGCTCTGTAGTACTTACAGGTGTCTTACTGAAATGCTTTATGATGTGTAAAGTAAGGAAAGAAGGTAGATTTCTGGCTTTGTTTCACATATGCTCTGGTATTTTTTTTTATTTTCGTGCAAGCATGGTGTCCAGAACAAAGAGCAAAAGCTGTGCTATGAGGGGGGGAACGTTATTCCATGGGATAGTCACGGAGCTCTCTTTCCATTGTCCTGTGGAGCCTGTGCTGGTTAGCCCCAATATTATACTTTTCTCATGGGATAGTGAGTTGTGGATTTAAATGAACTCCTTAGGATAAGGGGAACTTAGTCCTTACAAATCCTAGGCCTCTATTGTAGTTGGCAAACAGGCACAAAATTGACTTGCTAAGCCTGGTGGTTATGAAAGTAGTAACTGTCTTCTGAATCCAAAAAGCAACTTCAGCCTGAATTCTGTCTTGCAAACAGTCATTAGTTTCTGAAGTCTGTGAGAGAAGTGAAAATATAAATTTACCCCAGAATGCAGTGTTTCCTACTGTTTAGCACACAGGTTTTGATAATCATAAATTTTCCAGGACAGTTAACCCTGTCAACTCACTATTGATGCCAGCAAAGTACAAAGCTTGGGTTGGTGAATTCTGTTTCTGGTGCATAAAAGCAGCATCTTGACAGCACAAGTTTCTTTCTCCCCCCAACCCCCACAAATTTTTTTCCCTTGCTTTTCTGGTTGATCTCAACAGCTGCAAAATCTTGTACAAAATATGGTTTGGTAAGGACATAAATATACACCTATCTTCTATTATTACACTCTTAGGACACTGTCAGTTACTTCTGTATTTAGTTCCACTGTCTCAATTATTTACCTTTGCTTTCACCACAAACTTATGAGGCAGGAGAGTTTTGTTTCTCTTTAGCAGAGGAGTAAATAAAGTATAGAGTGACAAACAGGCTCAAGTCCACAAAAGTAGCTGCTTGACTGCTGCTGATGTTTATTTCTGCTATTTTTGGAGAATAC